AAAGCAGATTCTAAGGTTAACATTTGTACTGTGCATCCTAAAGTTTTTTGTTATATTGTCATTCTAAATTTGCTATATTTATATTTCTGGCAGCCACTTATAGAGGTGAATAAAGCACTGGCAGAAACAATAGGCAAAATAGTAGTTCAGTGTCTCTATCAGAAAAGTGGGTGCACATGGCAGGGTCCTTTTTCTGATTGTGCTTCACATTGTTCTGTGTGCGCCTTTGGAAACTCTCCAGTTGTATGCAACAGATGTGGAATCCAAATTGTGCACCGTCAAGTACATGAGCATGCACAGAATTGTCCTGTGAGTATAGTAAGGCAAATGATATGCTTGTACTTAATATACCTATGAGGTGATACTCTTGTCTTGAGCATCTTTTTCCTACTTGGGTTGTTAAACGCAGGGTGTTCCCCAAGCACAACAGGCAGCAGGGAGTGTCCAGGATGCTGCAACCTCAGGAACAACTGCTGCTGTTGTAGACCAGAGTCAGAATGCTACTCAATCAGAAGCACCAACTTCTCAGGTGCAGACATCACAAACAACTGCTGCTCCGGTGCCTGGACAGGATCCCAATCCTCAGTCAAATGCAAATCTACAGGCCCAAGCTTCAGTGCCAGCTGCTGTGCCAACTCCAGAACAGTGGTATCAGCAACAATATCAGCAGTACTACCAGCAGTATCCTGGATATGATCCTTACCAGCAGCCTTATCAACAATACTACCCATATCAACAACCGGCCATTCAGCAATTCCAGCAGCCTCCACCACATGTGCTAGGGCAGCAGCAACCTCAGCTCTATTCTCAGCCCCAAGCCCAGCCCCAGCTGCAGGTTCAGTCCCATGTCCAACCCCAGCCCCAATCTCAACCCCAGGCCCAGCCTCAACCTCAGCACCATGCCCAATCTCAGCCCCAGCCCCAGCTGCAGACTCAATCTCAAACTCAGCCTCAAATTCTATCCCAGGGACAGCCTCAACCATATCCACCCGTTCAGGTTCCAGTGGCTTCACAACATCAAAACCAGGCTAACCCACAGCAGCAACCTCACCCTGCAGTGCAGGCCCATTCCCAAACCCAATCTCAGACTCACCCACCCACCCATGGCCACCCACCTTTTCAGCCTCAGCCTTACCCGCAAGCCCAGACCCTTCCACAGCCTCATCCACAGCAACATATGCAGGTGCCGCAATATCAGCAGCCTCATTTGCAGTTGCACCATCCCCAGTTGCAAGTTCAGCCCCCACCTTCTCAGGTTCAACAACAACCTCATCCACATGCCCAAACCCAACCTCAACCTCTATCTCATTCACAAGTGCAGCCACAGGCGCAGCCTCAACATCATCCCCAGCCTCATCCACAATTCCGCCCTCCTCAGCCCAACCAGCCCCCAATTCCGAATTCCCAACCTCAGACCCCACTTCCACCGGCTCATGCAGTAACAGGTCATCACTCCTATCCGCAATCTCAGCCTCAAATGCAGCTGGTGGCCCCACAACAACATCCTATGCATATGCATCCTTCGAGTGGGTCTTTACCACCCCCAGCTCAAGTGCCAGGTCAGTTCCCGCAACAGCCAACTCAAATGCGGCCACCCCAGTCTCATGCACCATTGCCAAATCAACAACAATCAGCTTTGTTGCCTTCACAAGGTCAAGTCCCGAGCATCCCTTCTTCACAACAGCAGCAAATTCATCCTCATGCTCAGCGTCCTGTTATGAGGCCAAATCATCCACCAGTACCCCAGCAATATCTGCAGCAGCAGCAGCAGCAGCAGCCTTTTCCTGCGCAAGCAGTGGGTCCAGTTCAGAATCAATTACACCAGCATGGCCATTTTGGACAGCAGCAGCAGCCCATACAGTCTCAGTTACGCCCACCGGGTCCACCTCAGTCAATGCCGCAAAATTCTCATGGCCATCTCCAGCCGCAGCAGAATGCTGTGTTGGCTCATGGCATGCAACCCCAGCAGTTTCAAAGTTATGTAGGAAGACCTGTGATGCCAAATCAGGGAATGCAGTCACAGGCCTTTCCACAGGACAGGCCCATGCAGCTTAGTTCAAATCAAGCTTTAGTGAATCAGAATTTTGCAAACAGGCCCAACAACCAACAGCAATCGTCTGCAATGCCCGAGAGGCAAGGTGATCATATATCCGAGAGAAGTGTAGCTATGAGAATTGGAACATCATCTCAGAAGACTGCCGAAAAGGATGCAAATGGTCCTGGAGCTGGTTTGGTTGAAGTAAAGGCTGTGAAACCTGAAGCAGACATGAATAGTGAACAGAAACCCATAGTTGAAGGTGAAGGTAAATCTATGCAAGGCGAAACATCTGCCAAAGATGCAGACTCTGTTGTTCATGCAGTGAAAGATGGCTCAGGTGAGCTTGTAAACAAGCAAATAGTGAAGGAAGAGGGCACTGAGAATACATTGGGGCCTTCATGTGGGGGCAAATTGGCTGAAATTGTGTCTTTGGAGGGGAAAGACGGCCCGAATGTTGCATGTAAAGCAGATGTCCCCTTGGTAGATGGTCCTTCATTGCGGCAAGCAGAATCTCTCGAGGGACAGAAGGTGACATTGTCGGAAAATGCTGCAAATGTGAGCTTGAAGGCCACTGCTGGTTCTGACAAGGGTACAGTAGCAGTTCCTGCTTCCAAAACTGATGCTTCAGTTCAGAATACTATTTCCCAGGGCAATTCACAGGCTACTCATATCGCTAGAGATCCTATGCAACATGGTTATCAGGAAAGAAATTTGAGCCAACCCCAGGTTACTCCTCAAGGTTCTGGTATTGAAGAATTTGGTGGCTTACAGGGGAAGGGATTTGTGCACACTTCTCATCAGTTACCTCCAATGCCTCATGGGCCTTCCACTCCTCATCAGAGACCTGCGGTCCCTTCGATGTTACCGATGGCGCCTCCAGGACCCCCACTTCATGCACAATTGCCAGGGCAACCACCCGTGCCATTGAGGCCTCAGGCACCTGGACTTTTGCCTCAGCCTGGACAGTCATTAAACCCACAGGAGCATTTCCAGCCACCGGTGCTGAATCAGTCTCAAGGTCCTTTTCATTCAGACATTGCCGTCGGGAGGGGCCCTGGACCTGATCATTTTGGTCACTCATATAGAACTTATGATATGCATTCTAGCACTCCTCAAGGGCCAGTACTTAGTGCTGTACATCCCGGTCCTATTGCTCCTCAAGTTGGTCTGATGGGAAGAGCACCACCACATGGTCCTGAAGGTCAGTTTGGTCTGCAGCGTCCTACCAATCCAGTGGATACTAAAATGCTCCCAAATCAGAGACCACATCTCTTCGATGGCAGACAATTGGACTCGCATCCTCCAGGGTCTTTGGAGAGGGGCCCATTTGGGCAGCTTCCTGGTAATGAATCAAATATGAGGAGAATTAATGGGGCGCCAGGCCTTGAATCTTTGCGGGATGAAAGGTTCAACTCCGTGACTGATGAACGTTTAAATGCTTTTGCAATGGAGCCCACTCGACGCTTTGACCAAGGTGAGTTCGAAGATCTCAGAAAATTCCCTAGACCTCCTCATTTGGAGACTGAGCATGCTCCCAAATTTGGTAGTGTTTTTTCCTCATCAAGGCCAATTAACTCGGGTGCTCATGCATTTGGTGTGGATGCAGTATCAAGGCCTCTTGACATGGCACCCCGTGGGTACAATTATGATGCTGGAGAACGAGCAATGGGAGTTGGTCTTCATGATGATAACCGTGGTTGGATGGATTCCACTCATTCTCATCCAGATTTTCTTGGACCAGTTTCTGGATTTGGTCGGCATCAAATGGAGCGGTTGACTCCAAGAAGTCCAGGTAGAGAATACCCTGGTATTCCATCTCGTGGATTTGGAGGCCGCCCACATGGCCAATCAGGTCTTGATGATATTGATAGCAGGGAACCTCGTTCATTTGGTGAGGGATCCAGATCTTTTAACCCACCTTCAGATCCAGTCGGCAATTCGTTTCATGAAACTAGGTTTCCCACTTTGCCTGGCCGCATGCGGAAAGGCGAGCTTGATGGTTCGGGGAATTTGCGAATGGATGAGCATTTGGCATTTGGTCCTCAGAACAATTGGAGGGGTGGAGACTTAATGGGGCAGGAGATTCCGCCTAGCCACTTGCGGAGGGGTGAGCTTTTGGGCCCTCGGAATTTGCAGAGTCATTCGCATTTGGGAGAGCCAACTGGCTTTGGGGCTTTTTCTGGTCATTCACGCATGGGGGAATTGGCTGGGCCTGGGAACTTCTCCCATCATCCACCTTTCAGTGAGTCATTCGGAGGCAACCAGTCAAGTCATCCACGTCTTGGTGAGCCTGGGTTTAGGAGCAGCTACTCCCTCCAGGGATTTCCGAATGAGGGTGGACTATATGCAGTTAGTATTTATATCTCTGATCTCTTAAAATTTTATGCTGCTTATGGCCATTTTTTTTTTTTTGCTTTCTTATTTGTTGGTGTGGTGCGAAGAGAGATCAGAACTAGAATCATGGATTTGTTTCTGCAATGCATATGTGTACACTAGATGTATATATTTTGTCACATTAATTTTTTCAGGGTGACATGGATCCCTTTGATAAATCAAGAAAGAGGAAGCCATGGAGCACAGGATGGTGTCGTATCTGTAAAATTGATTGTGAAACAGTTGAAGGTCTGGACCTGCATTCACAGACAAGGGAACACCAGAAGATGACAATGGATATGGTTATAAGCATCAAGCAGCAGAATTCAAAGAAACAGAAGTAAGTTATATGGATTGTGTAAGACATCATTAATTTTTTGTTCAGAAGTCATTATAGTTTTGGCCTATTTTGTAGGACTTCTAACAAGCATTCTGCACTAGAAGAGGCAAGCAAGCCAAGAAATGCTGGTTTTGAGGGTCGTGGCAATAAACCTTAAGCTGTGTCGATAATTGGGACTCGAGGTGTCATAGTTGGCTTGGGATTATAGTTGTCTCAAGTATTTTTACGTTTAGTCAAATAGGTGATTCACCCTTCTATGTCTCTTTTCTGCTTTCGGGGTCGTTTATGCTAGCTTTCTCATTTCAGGTTGCTGCCTTGTTATTGGAGAGGGTTTTGTGGAACTGAAGTTTCAGTGCAGTTAAGTTTGTTATGCTTATGATTTTGACATTTTAATTTTCTATTCGGATAGTTTTATGTCAAATTAGCAACATTATCGGAGGTGTTACTGCACTTTTCAGTTAATGGATCGATTTGTAGTTCTTTGTATGGAAAATGTGTTCTTGCCCATAGATGAGGATGTTTTGATTGTTTTAACAGTTGAATTGTGTAACATTCACATGAGTTGAATTACCTGTGTCATATGGGATTTAGGCAGATTGTAACTGCGCTTCTATCCATTAGAAATCTTAGAGAGGATATCCTTTGGTATAAGTAAGGGGGAAAGCTACATTCCTTAAAAAGTTGCCATGCATATAAAAGTTTAGATAACTTTATGTCTAGCCTCGCACTGGTAGTTTTCTTCTGGTATGGAAACTGTCCAAAGTTGTTTGTTGCTTTTCTCATCGTGTTCTGATTTCAGCTCGCTATTTGAGGAACAGGTTAATTGCCCATTTGAAGCTGGAAATCTTACGTGCCAATTAGGATTGCAAGATGAATTATTAACAAGACTCTTAGATTGTAGTTGATTATTCACCCCAAACTTCACTCACCTCTCCCCTTAGTTCTGTCTGCCCCTCCAGCATGTGATACCAAATTGGCCATGAGCTACATTTGCACTAGAAATATTGGAGATGAAGAAAATTAGAATGGGAATGATTGGACCTAAGAAGCACATACACGGGACATGGATACGACACGGACACGTTGACACGAAATTTTTCAAAAAAGTAGGACACGGGCATGTTCGGGGACATGTTTATATATATATATATATATATATATATATATATATTCATGTGTTAAAATAAATATATTTTGAATAATAATCATTCAATTCATCATTTTCTTAATTCTAACAATTCACATCATGATAGCATCAAATAAAAAATCAAATATCACATATACCGATACATATTCATCATAAACATCCTTGATTCAACAATCAATGCCTATTACAATTTTCATTTTTAAAAATTCCCCACTTTGTAAATTCTCATCAATTTTAGCGTGATTCAATTTTGTAACCCTATTTTTCATCACATTACTTTCGTATAGAATATTTAAAATTTGTGTATAATTTTGTAATCGTGCCCGAAATTATGTTTTATCCATGTCCTATGTTCATGTAGTGATTAGAATTCTTTTTATATCATTTGACCCATATTTCTCTAAAATTACAAAAATAACTTAATTATAAAGTTGTCTGACAAATTTTCAAAAATTTGAAAAAAAATCTTAATACATGTCCTCTAGTGTGTACCCAGCGTGTCAGTCGCGTGTCACTAATGTGTCTTGAAAAAATTTAACAATAAAAAAATTGGAGAGTCGTTTTAGTGTGTCCGACACATGTCCAAGCATGTCTGTGTCCTAGACGTAATCAACACCAACACTTTAGCAAAAATGAAGTGCACGTGCTTCCTAGGACTGGATATATATGATGAACCGGAGGAAGTGTTGCATGATTAGAAGGGATAGAACAACCTTGAGAAGGTGACCGAGGTAATAAATTTTTGAATAATAACTGATTCTTAGGCACTTCTTTAGCTACTTCACTGATTATTTGCAAATCTTCATTTTAGTTTTGCTGATTTGTTGCAATTTTGTAGTTGTAGTGATGGCTTTCTTTTTTTTTTGGCTAATTATACAGTCTGTGTGGTTCTGACCTTATCAAGGTGAAGATTCTTTTATAAATACATTTGGACTTTTTAACACCGGAAAAAATCTTATTTACAAGAGATAATTTAGAAACTAGAACGCCTTGCCATTTTACATCGGTTGTCTCATAAGTTTTTCTCTATGGAGTCTGACAATCATTTTCTGGCATAGTATTGAGTTACATGGCAATCAGGATTTTTATAACTTGCCCCTTCCCTCCCCTCCCCACCCCAAAAAAATAAAAATAAAAACACCACCACAACCCAAACACAACCCAAAGAAAACAATGGCACTGCCTATGTTTTGACTGTAGTAATGTTGCTTCTCATGGAAGGAGGGCAATAAGTGAGGAAGATGGTCTAAAGTTTGTACTGTTTCTTAAAAAATATACAAACAATATATCGTAGAGAATAGGAATTAAGAGATAATAAACACATGTTTAATTGAAAAAGCTTCCACACCAACCTGTTTCACATTAGTTTCAAGGTAAATAAGGGAGCTCGAATTTATAAAATTAGTTGTACTTATGTTAGTTCCTCTTCTGGGGATAAAATGTCGTGCCCTATGTGTTTTGTATTTTTATGGGTGACTACATTTAGGCATCTAGAAAAGTTTGCATTTGATCTATGGAAAGTTTATATTAACTGCATTTGTGAATGCAAGCTGAACTGTGGAGTACTGAAAAGGATATATGGACACTTAGAAAAATATGGGATTTGCTATCCAAAAAATAATTCGAAGATGGCTAAGAAACCTATAGAAATCCAAAGGTATACAGTATTATACTGGTTGGAAAATATTAAAGGGGAAGATGCACTACTTCGTTGTAACTAAACTCATTTCAGAGCTATAGAATCTTCCCCTGTGACAACTGTGCTATAATTGGAATTGGCTTCTTCCATTTAATATTTTCGCAAGGCAGTACGGAATATTCTATTGAAACTTATGAATACTGCAACTTTTTGAACTTTTATTGTGAGTCATTGGCTTTGTGCTGCTGCATAAATAGAAGCATTGAAATGCTGTTCAAAAATGTGATTCTCCAAAAAATTCCCATTTCCTCAGACTGGAATACCCTTTTTCTTGCCTGAACTGCACAATGGGCTTTTTCTTACATAAAGCAGATGTTAGTATGGCAATGTACTAAGTGTAAGTTGGTTTCTGTTAGGACATGGCCTCTTCTCTGTCTTGGTCCTCCCTCTCTAATATATATATATGTGTGTGTGTGAGTGTGTGTGGCTGCAAGCCATTCTCTCCTCTGTTCTTTACAGCTGTTTGGCTCTTCCCCAGGTCACTGTTGCTCTTTCCTCCCTCTCTCCATTGGTTAGTATCCTTGGACTCTATTCTTCTCAATCTCTCCTTGCCCACCACGACCTCTTTCCCTAATCCAACCCCTAGAATATACAATTATCAATCTAAAGATCTCATACAATATATATAGATACTAGCAATAACCCCATGTCTGAAGACACTTTGTAATACTAAAAAGTGATCAACATTTTAAATTAATTTTTTTATTTAATCATGCAATTTAAAATTAAATTAACAAAAATAAAAAAGAAAGAGGTAGGGGGTGGGAGAAGAGAGGTATAAATGTGAATTGGTAGGGTTGTCTAGCGTTGGGGGTCGCATAATGAAAATTATGTTTTTGATCGGGAAAAGAAATTTTGGGATGAATTTTATATCATTGGATAAAAGTAGATGAAAATTGAATTAATTTTGACTGTAGTTGTGCTTTATAAGTTGAGAATTTAACTTTCTAACTATAATATTACACACATCAATGTGTGTGTGTGTGTATATATATATATTTAGTCTGGGATTCGGGTGTGATTTAAAGGTTTTTGATTCCAGATTTGTGCGCAGATTTATATCTATTTTATTTTTTATGAAAATTTGGATTGGGTAGTTGGATATTGTGGATTTTATTTTTTTTAAAAGGCTCATTATAGGCTCGAGCTCAATTCAAGCCGAGCTTGAACAATAGTTTGAGCTCAAGCCGAGCTTAAGCATTCCTCCAATAGGTTAAGCCGAGCTTGAGCATAGCCAAGCTCGAAAGGCTCGGTTTGATAAACACCATTACTTGCAAGTAATGATCAATATTTCGTTTCAATGCATTGTTTCGGTCACATGGAAAATGGAAACGTTTCGACGTGTTTCGAAAACTAAATGAAAGAAATAAAAAATTTAAGAATTATTTTTTCAAAATATTGGTTGAAATATACGAAAGTATCTTTAAATATCTTGAAATATTATGAAATAATTGTGCAAATGTATTAAAACATAACAAAAACACCTGGTAACATTTTGAAATACTAGGAAGTATTAGAATGTTGATTTCATTATTGATTCGTTTAGATCTCCTTGAAAATGGAAACGTTTCTGATGTTTCGACTGTTTGGAAATAAAATGTTGATCCTTACCTACAAGGAACCATACTCCTCAATTATGATAGGTAGAAAATCATGAAACCCCTCAAGGAACAAAACTAATCTACACACAGTACGATGTATGTCGGCTGCATTCAAGTCTTTGAAATCATAATATAGAAACCCATCAATTTTACAAAATAGGTTTTTTGTCTGATCATGAGATATCAAATCATGCTTTAAATCAATATTAATCCCAATGAAATCATGTACTCACTTGGTTAAAGGCCCGTACTCACTAGCCATGTTCCAAACAATGTGCAATGAAAAATTAGTGCTTGAGAACCCTTGTCGGATAGATTGAAAACTTGTGATTTTAGTACAAAGTCTGAAGCATGTAACAAATATATTTAATTCTAACAAAATTTTGTCAGATTTTTTGGTAATAATAATCAAAACACGCGTTTAGGAACTTTGGGTTTGAGGATACATGTGTAAACTGTGAAAATTCATGTTTTCACGTCTAAATCCTATCATAGGGTCCAATAGTGTTTGAATCTACCAAGGAACTATAAGATTTGTATCACGGAATAGGTAAAGAACCATGATCTTTCATGTGGTGCGTCAATGCCTAAGATTGGGAAAGAAAACCCTACTTTTTTTCAGAAGTTCAAAACCCTAGGCCTTGAATCCATCAAGAGATCCCAATTTCTTTAGCGTTTCTCCCATTTTCCCTCTCTAGAATTATCCTCTTTCTCTCTCTAGAATTATCCTCTTTCTCTCTCTAGAATATGTCTAGGTTTTTAAGAATAAAAGAAAAATGAGAAAAATCATTATTTGAGGGTTTTTATAGTGTCAAAAACGGATTTAAAATGAATTTTAAATGTTAGAATTCGTGCGGTGCATGAGCAAGGTGTCAGATAGTGCTCCAGCGCTAAGCTAGCACCAGCTATTGGAATTTTTTGTCTTGGCATTTGGCATTTTTAAGAGCCCGTCTTGAGCAGCATTGCTCCCGCTTGAGCCCTCTCCTATCTCGTCCCAATGTGCCAAAATTACTTTATAAACACCTCCAAACACAATCCTAACCTTCTAAATCATTCCAGTTGGCATATAAACTTAAGAAAATATATACTTTATCAACCTCTCCTATGGATTTAATCATGGATACATGTCACACAAAACAAGGTACTGAAATTTTATTTGAAACTTATCACAACTTACTATAAAATTTATAATAATTAATTTACAATTTTGAATCTTACATCTTCACAGTAGAAATTATGTAAAAATAGAATTCATTATGATATGCAATCATATAGCTAGTAGATAAGAGTTTCCAACATAACAGGCTCTGAACATTGAGAACTTTTTCTATCCAGTTTGTGAGCCATATAAGATTATCATTTCACACCAAATTTTGGGATAGGTGACGGCATGCAGCGCTTCATCCCTTTCCTTGTACCGAAATCAAAATGAGTAATGATCTTGGCAAGGTTGACCCGTATCTCAACATAAGTGGGTATTCTGTTAAATGGCTGCTGTTAGGGGATGTATATTTGTGGTGGTCGATGCTTGTGCTTTGTTAGTGCGGCTTTATCAAGGCTCTGAGGTGACTATATGTATCACATATTGGATAATCTTTTGTTCTTTTGTAACACAGAGCTGGTCTTTAGGGTAGTTCTCCCACCAACCGTTATAATCATAGGTTCCACTTTT